TAGACTCTACCGAGTTTGTTCGTGAGTTGTGAGACCTATGTAACCTAGTGCTCTGATACCAACTTGTCACGATCCGGATTTCCCACCTTCGGGAGTCGTGATGGCGCCTACTAATAAGAGCTAGGCAAGCCAATTAATTTAATACTTGGCTTGCCTAGCTCCGATTAGTAGGCGCCATCACGACTCCCGAGGGTGGAAAATCCGGGTCGTGACACTATCGCCCAGAGTTTTAGAGATATATTGGATATCAATGAACCGTTTGGTAGAAAAGTAATAGTTTGGGAGGTGATTTTTGTCAAGTACGATCGGTAGTTCCAAAATTGACCAAAGCAGAAGCGGTAAAAGCTAGCTTGCAAAATTATACTTATGACCTCAAATGAAAAATATTCAAATGACAAGAAATATAAAAGTAAGAACAGATCCAACATTCAATGACTTCTTGCTTCGTGTCAGAAACGAAGAAGAGCATCCAATAAAAGATGATTTGGTTCTTCTAGAACACCTGGTTATCAACCCCAATAATAATAGTTGTGCATTTAGTAAGGAATATATTTTCATTATTAGATTAAAACGTAATTTGTGCAAATTACATGATAGAAATTAAAGAACTATCTTAGCTAGCAGAAATGAATATGTTGACCAACTAAATAAAAGGTTGAATACTAAGTTTTATGGTAAAAACAAAATATTTTTCAGTTTTGACTCAGCAGAAGATGATACCAACAATACTACCAAGAAGAATACTTAAATACTTTAATACCAAATGGCCTTCTACCGTACATGTTTGTTGTCAAGTTCATTATTTCTTACGTATATTAGTGTCACCATATATATAATGGACTAAGTTAAAATAGATCTTCCATTGCATATAGGTTTATGCCCATGATGCTACTGAACATTTAGATCTGCTGAATAGCTTATGTAATAGTACACATATGGTATATAAAAGTTTTGACAATAACGTAATACATGCAGAACTTATGATACTGGCCAATGTGCTTCTAAGCATGTCTTTATCACCGAATTCAACTTTCATCTTCCGAAACTAAAGAATATCCTTTTAAATTTATGTGAAAATAATTTTCAGTATGTTTATGTTTTGTAGTTATAATAAATAAAGCACAAGGACAAACATCCTAAATATTGAACTATATTTACCACAATATATTTTCTTACACGAATAACTATATGTTGTACTTTCAAGAGAGATATCAATATCGACAACAAGTGTTTAGGTTATGGTGGAGTAACCAAAGCATTAGAAGGAAACATATACAAAAAAATACCGTCTATAAAGAAGTGTTTGGTAAGATACCATCACATTAGATACCTTTAAACTACAATACATAAATATCTACTTAACATGACTAAAATTGATCATTTATGTAAGTTCTAATGATATCCTTTCATTTTGAATTCACGTATTATGCTAATGTAACAATATTTTTCGGCATTTAGATGATTGTTATACATAAAATTTCTCTCATTAATTAAATTTATTATTCCTTCGTATAAATAAATATTTAAACCATCATGTGTCATTATTAACGTGCAACACACGTTTATAGATACTAGTACTATATTAAAAGCACAAAGACCCCTAGCAAAATATTGTTCGCCTTTTTTACCCTTTTAAAATAAATATTACATTGGACATGATAGTAATTTAAGTTATTTTCCTCATATTTAAGAATTTAATATAAACTAAATTTTTTATTATTAACTCTTACCTTATTGACTAGGTAAGAAGTTCTAATATTTAGGAGTTTAAGATCAATTTATCTTTTACCTTATATACAAAATTAGAAGACTGAATTTCTTACCATGAGGCATACGTTCGTGAATGTTTTACCAATTAATAAGTCTACTTAATAGCAAGAGACATCTATGTTATGCAATGTTAGTAATAGAATCTAACAGAACGGGAACTTCATTGATGAAAATGGATTTTTTTTGCCGTTTTACCCGTCTAATACATGTATTGAGATATCTAGTTCTTTTTCATTTTGGATCTTTCTTTAAATTTTCAGCGTATGATATCACTTGATAGAGCATAAACGATGACAACAGCAGGCTCGCTTGGACAAAATAATGCTTGTTTTAAATATATAAAGGGCTTAAAAGTGGATGCTTAAACAGGGAAAAAACAGATGCGCAATGTACGCATGAATCATATGTCATGTCCTTGGACATGCTCTCCTTCCTATATTTCCAAACCTTTTCACAGCATTAAACAAAAGCACCTTGGGTAAGATTCCTTGGTTAAGTGTACAAGCAACTGCCACAGCTCCACCAATGATAAGCAGCTTTGGTATGTTCATACCCTCAGGTTTTGCAGGTGAAGCTAGCAATTCATTTTCAGATGATTCCTCATCATCTTCCATCGACTTCAAGTATTCTCGATCAATTTTTGTATTAACTCTAGCCATAAAAGCACAATGAGATATTTTCAAGCCAGATGCTTTAGCTTTCTGGTAGGCACGGAATCCCCGCTCAATCTTCCTCACAGCTCCCCACATACCTTGCTTTACCCCAAATTTTGCAATTTCCCATGGGATGCCCATATCTTCATGATGGAATAGAATCACCTCGCATGCTGTCGGCTGGCTGTTACCTCTACTTGATTCCACTGTTTCATGCACCGTAATGCAAGTATCTTAGAAAAGGGAAATTGGACTCAACATAACATGACTTATAACAAGCAAACTCTAGTTAGTAATACTCGTTCAAAGTTATATTTTTGAAGTTTGATAAGGAATACATGTCAATCCCATCATTCACTTGTCACAATCCAAGGAGAAAGTGCATGCTTGTTCTGATTCATGGATATAGGTTGGTTATTAGGGAGGCAAATGCATTGGAAACATTGTATCCCCACCCGNTCTAATGATATCCTTTCATTTTGAATTCACGTATTATGCTAATGTAACAATATTTTTCGGCATTTAGATGATTGTTGTAGTATTATATATAAAAAAATTCTCATTAATTAAATTTTATTGTTTATTCATATAAATAAATATTTAAACTATCATTGCTGTTATTAACGTGCAACGCACGTTTATAGATACTAGTTATTATAAAAGCACGAATATAATGTTGGAAGACCAAAATAGCCCTAAAATATTAATTGAATTTTATAATATTAATGTACAAAAACGTAAAATTAGTTTATTAGTTGAAGCATCCAAATCAAATATGGAATCCAAGTCCAAGTCAGAATTACAATCTTTGGTATATAGATACATACAAGCAAAGTGCCTGGCGACTATAAAAGTACTTGTCATTCAGTGTAAAATGAAAATTCAAATTAATTTTTTTTTTAAAATTTATAATAGTGTCATTCATTTGTTTAACGGACTAATAAGAAAATAATATTTTTTTCTTTGAACAACGGAAGTACAACATAAAATATGAAAGAAGAAAAAAGATATAACTCAGAAGTGTATGGAAGCTAAAAATTCAGCAGTCTATTAAAGAGATCAAAGAGGTGTTAATATACATTTAGTTCTTCATTAAACTCTTCATCTAAATATCAAAGGGATCTTAAATTAAAAAAAAAAAAAAAAAGTACCAAAAAGTAGTCCTAGCTAGGGTGGAGGAAGCTTAAGAGTTTCTCACTTAATTCTCACAAGAGTTGAATATTGAACATGACTTGTTTGTCCACTGCCTCCAAAATTCCAATATCATCTCCATGTATGGCGATATTCAAATCCAATGAAGCTGCATTTTCTCTCTTTTCCTCTTCAACATCACCATTACTCTTCTCACTAGTAGTAGGAGAATAGGGTCTTGAAACTGAAGAACTAAAGTACTCCTCACAGCTAAAAATGACTATGGAATCCTTAACAAACACTAATTCACCATCAGGAAGTGTAAAGCTTCCACTTTCAATAGCTTCTTTAATACCCTTTTGTGAGAAAGAATCAACTTGATCCACATCTTCCATGAAAAACACACGGCTCGGATTTTCTTGGACTGCTTCTGCAACCCTCTCCAGATAACTCTTACCTGTTGAGACATAATATAATTAAATAATTAAAAGTAAATAAAATATTTCAACGTGTTTGGCCCACGAAAAAGAATCAGGTCACTATGCCCGAGCAATTAAGTATCTACCTCACATGGAATATGTTTCTAGAGCTTGTTTAGATAGTTGTTGAACAACATCACTCCCTAGGTACATGAAAAATCAATACGACGAATTTGAAAGCAGGATTAGAGATAAAGAAGCTTTGTCGTGGTAAGAGTGAGCAGTGAGAATTTGCAAGCTACAGTAGTTCTACAAAATATTTCTAGTAAGTTATTGTGATTGCTCAGAGAGAAATCCCAGTAAGTATCATGCTCTCGATCAACAAAGAACAAATTGACGAAGTTATAGGTAACATGGCGAGAAGGATTTCAGCAGCCGGGAAAATCATAACTCTAGGCCTCCTTAATCTTGTCTTTAACTCTTTGCTTAATTAGTTCATAATTTACTGCATTTCCATTATTTGCAATTAGTTTAACCAAACAAAAATCATTATTTGAATATTTTGGAGAATTGATTTGCTTGAATTCTTGTGATACATTAAGTTGTGATTGATGAGTTAATTCCTTATGGGATTCGACTCCGAACTCTTAAACCGAATTATAATTTGCGAGGACCGCCGCAACATAGTTGAGCGTGACCACAATGTATACTTTACACAGACAGTCGGGGTTTCCTTGTTGATTTTTTGGGGATGTAACCAGGCACAAATCCTTGTGCTATTCTGTTTAATAATACTTGCCCATTTCAAAATAAGAGTACACTAACCACACAAACCAAACAGAGAGGGATTACCAAACTCGTATAAAGAAGAAAAGGAAAGAACAACAATAACAACATACCCAGTATTATCCCACACTGTGGGATTTGGGAAGGGTAGAGTGTACACAGACCTTACTCCTACCTTGTGAGGATAGAGAGGCTGTTTCCAATAGACCCTCGGCTCAGGAAAGAATAAGTACCACATTAATGAAAATATAGACAAGAAGGGACAACCCAAAAGCCATATAAAATGCAGAATAAAGACAACAAGACAGTAAGGTGATCACAATGAAAGAAAACAACGGTTAGTCAATAAAAAACTACTACCAACAGAAAGCGAGCCGCGTGCCGATACTACTGTAAAGAACACTCTAGACTACCTACTCTACTAGCCAAATCCTCGACCTCCATGCATTCCTATCGAGGGTCATGTCCTCGGTCAGTTGAAGCTACGCCATGTCTTACCTAATCACCTCTCCCCACCTCTTCTACGGTCTACCTAGAAGAGGTGGGGAGAGGTGATTAGGCAAGAAAAGGAAAGAACCTGATCGATAATATCATCCAACGGATTGTTTGGAAGATCCAAAGAACGAATTATATCCAAAATTTTGGACCTTCTCTCAACAGCTCCTTCATACCTTTACATCATATAGGTGGTTAGTGTTAGACCTTCCTCAAACACCGAGTGCTATGATCTATGATGAAGCCAAAAAGTGAATATAATCAGAGCAGCACATTTTCACATGTTCCACCTTTTCAAAAGTTCGGCAACATAGGCATGTCTTGGTTGGATATATTCATCTAGTCTTTTCCTTGCAAGAATGGCAACACCAATCTGCAGAAACTGACTCTGTAACAGGTGGAATTAAACATGTCAGGATGTACAAGTTGGCTACAACAGGAACACTGGATCAATTCATCGTCATCGGACTCAGTAAATTCATATTCGGAATCAGCTGTACTTAATAAAAAAAGATTCAGCAGGTAGAAAAATGCCTAGAGCAAATTATATGAAACATCATGTATTTTCAGAAATGGTTGTCTTGCGCACACCTCAGCTTATCTTGACATTCTTTTTTCCAGTAACGGTGTTCTCCAGGCCAGCTTATGCACACATCAGCTTTGACATTCTTTTCATTTACACTCAGAAATCAGACTAGGAAGGAACTCACCTGTATTAGCTTTGATTCTACTGTTTGATGAGAGTACTGAACTTTTGTCAAAAGGCACTCAGCGTCGGTTCATGAGTAAACAGGTTGACCAGTTAAATCAGGTGGAGGAAGTTAGGAATAAACACTACCATTAAGTTTCAGATTAAGAATAAAAGGTACACGCATCTGTACACATATCCAGCATGTATTTCGTATGCAAGCAACTATATATCCTTTATAACGGATTCAGATCTAATTTCAATCCACCCAAACACATTAGCATCTTGATACATAGAAATAGTATCTTCTGCACGTCTTTGCGCACTAGAACAAGTGAAACCAAATCTCTAGTATGAACTATATAAGCCATTTTAAACGTAGGAAATAACTATATTGCTTTTCCAGTAACAAGAGGCTTAGGAGGGGACAAAGACCTAATTTCAGGTGCAGATGTTGGAAAAAGTATGTTGAGTTTATGCATTAAAATGTCAGCCCTTGATGGAATCTCATTCAAAAGAAATTGCTGAACAATTGGTTTCTTAAACCACTCCAAGACAGCATCTCCTGGAGCCCTCAAAACAACCTTACTGACCTCGAAGGGTGATTCCACTGAGCTTAACATCTGTGCCACCACAATTTTCAAAGTTGGTCCAGTGACCAACTTGATCCTCCTAGGGACAACACCATAATACAACATCCGTTTCCTAAACCTATGAAGTGTATGTACCACTGCCACGAGAGCTGCTCCCACCGACAAGTTTCTAACATCAAGGGACCACGCAATATGTTGATCAAACACTATAGCCTTGGGGAAAAGCTTGTTTTCATAGGCAACTTTCCATACACAACGAGCACGATTTATTTGTCCCATGAGGACAAGATAGTTAAGGAGAACATTAACAAAGTACCTAGAAGCTCCTTCTTCTAGCTCATAATCAATACCTTGGAAGAATTCCCTCACAAAAGATAAAACTGGCTGTTTCCTCTGCTCTGGCCCAGTAAAGAGCCCACACATGAAAGCGTGAGCCTTATGTTTCGTAGCACTCAAGATCGACATTAAATGCCTCTCATCGTTCTCATCTTGGCATCTTACTAAATGGGCAAGAATTGAAGTGTAAAGAATGAGGTCAACCTTGGCAGCAGAGTTCACATATGTTTCAAGGAGAGGTTTGGCTGAGTCGTACAATCCGCTCTTCATGCACGATTCAAAGAGCTGCCGTATTATGAAATTATTCGTCCTGATTCCTGATGAACCCATAAATCGTAGCCACCTTAAAGCAAGATCAACAGAACCGTCCTTAATGTAAACCATTAGAACATCACTAGCATTCACATCAACTGAATATCCCATGGCCTTCATTTCCAGTAAAATCTTTGCAGAAACATCCAAAAGCTTCTTTTTGGCAAGAAGAGTTAGCAAGGCCGTATAAGTACTCAATCCTGGTCTCAGACCTGCATTAGTCATCGAGTTATAAAGCTTCATAGCCGCATCTACATGACCGGAAGCAGCATGCATCTCCAGCAGAGAAGAATAGGTGGAAGGAGTGGGCAAAAATCCTGCCTTTTCCATATCCGAGAAGACAGACATTGCAATATCAAGCTTTCCAGATTTCGCATGGGACTCAACAATCATGGTGTATAGCCCATAGTTAGGTCTAAACCCTGCTTTCTTCATTTCATCCCACAGCCTTAGAGCAGTCTCTAATTTTCCAGCCTTCACAAAAGACTCGATCAAGGATACGAACATAGTAGCAGATGGTCTGAGCCCGAAGCCCTGCATTTCAGTATATACCTTCATTGATGTGTCCAACCTCCCGGCTTTACCCATCGAATCAACGAGGGAGGCAAAGATCCCAAAACCTGGACGAAAGTTATTCACCTTCATCTGCTGGAAGAGTTTGAATGCTGCATCGAGGCGTCCTGACTTTGCAAGGTTTGGGATCATTAACTCATAACTCGATGCATCTAATGAGCACCCAGCTTTTTCCATACTCTCATATATCTCAAATGCCTTATATGGCAAACCGTTGTTTAGGAACACGGTGATAAGGGAGTTATAGGTCTGGGTATCAACTATGCAACCAGACTCTTGAATTTTCTTAAAACAGCAGAAAGCCACCTCAAATTTCTCTGCCTTGGCTAGGTATTGGATGACTCGATTATACGCATTAAACAGAGATGCCCCATTTTCGCCAGAATCAAGGACCATATCATCAAAAACCGATTGAATTCCATCAAAATCTCTGCTTTGGTTCAATTTATCAAACAGGGTAATGTAGCAAGCATCATTTGGCTTATACCAAGGTTGTCTCTTTGCCCACCGAAATAAACTTAACGAAGCATCACTATCTTCCATAACTTTCAACGCTTGCATAATGTGAGTCATATTTGGTATAAACTGAAGCTTATCCAATTGAGTCTCCATATCAGGGCCCCACTTCCACCTCTTCACAATCTCAACAAGCTTTGCCACTGCTGAAGCATTCAAAATAGGCTTCTTCAACCCACCCACCATTACATGATCATCAACCCCTGGCTCAACCGACCTTATTCCTTTCCCTGAGTAAATAACACTCCCTGATTCATCTAGATATTCTACATCTTCAGTCCATTCAGAACAGTAGTATCTCGAAAAGTAAGGAGCTTTAGCATTGAAATTAGCAGTGTTCTGATTCGCCGAAATAAATCGATGATTATTCCGAGAAATGTCAACTAATTTGCGGGTATGTTTAAGGTTTCTATAAAAGAGAAAGCTGCAAAAAATCATGGTGCAACCATTTATTTAAATCGGAGGTAGAGAGAGCGAGAGAGATGAACTGAAATTTATTCGGCGCCGGAGATCAAGCTTTTGCTTTTTGGTGTTTATTATTGGGTTCTTCTTCCCAATTTACGCAGAAAGACTGAAAGAGATGAGCTTTCCTAAACCCTAAACCCACGCAACCTGCTTCCTGCTCTGCCACTATTAACGGGTCGGGTGAAAGTCGGGCCTCTTCAGTAGCGACGTACACAGATAGCCGTTTTTAGAGTGACATAGTACAGCCGCTATCAAAATAATAGCCAAAAATATATACTATATTTTGTATATATATATATATATATAGATTTTATACGTTATATATAAATTTTATACATTTTTTCGGCTACCGAATATAAATTCTGGCGCGGCCTAAAAGGGAGAAATTCAAAAATAACCAGATTTACAAGTGTTCATTCAACAATAGCCACAGTTTCAGAAGTAATCGAAATTTAGCCACTTTTCATGTAAAGATAAATCTGAACGAAAATACTGTTTAAAATTCGAAAAATACTCCAGCATAATATACTGGAATTCCAGTATAATATACTGGAGTTTCAATATAATATACCGGTCCAGCATAATATGCTGGAAGTTCATACACAGGTACTCCAATCTCCAGTATATTATGCTGAAACTTTCCACGTGTTGGAGTTCCAGCATAATATGCTGGAAGCTCATACACAGGTGCACCAATCTCCAATATATTATGCTGGAACTTTCCGTGTTGCAGCAAAATAGTGACTATTTTTTAATGACTTTGCAAATGCTGGCTATTTTTGAATGACCACTCCGAAAACTGGCTAGCCCGTGCTACTTTTACGGCCTAAAATTAAAAAATGCCCACCCTTATAAGGAGCTGGTCCTTAAATAATAGCCTTGTTTTTTAACGTAGAAATGGCGTGGGGTAGCCACTGTTTAAGCTGGTATTTACTTTTTATCCAAATTTTTTAATGCTTAGCAATAGTAGCCACTAGTCTATTAAAATTAATATGAAAAGACTGTGTTACCCTTTCCTCCCCAAATAGAAATACACTGATGCATTCAAAACATAAAGACTTCGTATTCTCTTGTGTTCTCTTGGTACAAATCGCTGCTATGTCGAAGCATGTTAGAAATGGACCTCAGTAGACTTTTTTCGGATATGACGTTTTATGGGAGCTTCGTGAAGATTTTAGATTCGTCTCTACTTTTTTATTTAAAATTTGGTTGACGTTGAAGCTATTATGCTTCTGCCATTTCTCTTGTGGCAGAATCGGTGTGCTGATTATTTTTCTTTCTAGTGAGTCTAATGTAATAGGGTTTATTTGCTCTTAGCTCCTTGAATTTATTTTTAGATCTAAAAGTTGTGAAAATAAGAAAAAGAGTGATGAGTAAACAGGAAATGCAATTCCTTCCCATAAGTTAAAGGACATGTAGTCCTGAAGTCTTAAAGTTAAATTCAAAAGTTAAGGACACAAGTTCAAAAGTTAAGGATAGGCAGTCCTTAACTTACAGTTACAAGTTCTAAAGTTAAGGACAGGCAGTCCTTAACTTATAGATACAACTTCAAAAGTTAAGGACAGACAGTCCTTATCTTACAGTTACAAGTTCAAAAGTTAAGGACAATAGGTCCTTAACTTTGATTTCCAAGTTCAAAGTTAAGGATAGACAGTCCTTAACTTACAGTTACACATTCAAAAGTTAAGGACAAACAGTCATTAACTTACAGTTACAAGTTCAAAAGTTAAGGACAATAGGTCCTTAACTTTGACTTACAAGTTCAAAAGTTAAGGACGCTTGGTCTTGAAATTTAAGTTCCAAGTTCAAAAGTTAAGGACATGTAGCCTTGAAGTCCTGAACTTAGAGTTCCAAGTTCAAAAGTTAAGGACATGTAGCCCTGAAGTCCTAAAGTTAAGTACAAAAGTTAAGGACATGAGCAGAAGGGTATTTTCGTCCGGGCGGTTAAAGTTTATTAAAGTAGTGGCTAAAGACTAAAGACATTTTAAACGGTGGCTTAAAAGTAAATACATGTGTTATTAGTGGCCAACCGTGCACTCCCCCTTTTTTAACATCTTTAAAAAGTGGCCTCGGATCCAAATATGCACTTACCAACAACGACGGTGCAAGTTGGTTGGATTTAACTTTTTATTCATAGTAATGTTATGATAAATTGGTAGAACTTTATGCTATATTCAATTTAGCTATCATGTTAGATAACTCATAGATTCTATCAGGTTGTCAAAATTTTAAGTTTTCACTTATAGTGAAATCATTGGTAGGATTTCATGCTATACACAATCACTATTACGTTGGATAACTAACAAACTCTGCCTGATTGGTATGACTTTGTACTTGTCCAAATGTTCACTAAACTCTACCAGATTGACATGAGTTTGTGTTATTTACATTTGGCTTTATCAATCAAATAGTTCATCAAAGTCTACCTAATTATCATAAGAAGAATTAACACAAATAGCCGTCCACCTAATCTCTTAAACTAAAAATAGCCGACGGATGATATATGTGTAATTCATGTATGATATGTGTATGATTGTATATAATCAATGCTTAATCCACATATACCGGCTACAAAAAAAATAGTGAATCTGGCCAACTATTTGTATAACAATCCCTTATCATAATTTGCATGTATCGTTCAACTAAATGTTCTCGATTTGCAATTTCAATTTCGAATAAACAACCTCAAATCTCCTCAAATTGATCTCAAATTTAAGACAACCTCCAAATACCAACACAAGCGATTCCCAATCACCAATTTTATTAAATAATACCAAATCAAGAAGATTTATTTTACTTCGTCAACATTTTCTAAGTACCAACAATGGAGTTTTGATATTTTTAAGGAAAATCACTAAATCAACGTTTGAATTAAGAATTTAGGCACAAAATATCAATACTCAAGTGATTTTAACAATACCCAGTGATTAACTCACTTTCCACCCTCATACCAGAATTTTAAGCTTCTAAAATTGAAGAACTACGATATTCTTGATGAAGAACAATACATCACATATAAAACTAAAAATCAAGAAGAGTTTGGGGAACATTATTGAGAGTGCAGTCAAATAACGGGGCACCCTTTATGAGCTAGGGAGATAATAATTGGGAAAGCATTAAAAAGGAGTTTCTGCTGGATGCTGAAAGCTCTTTACTAGAGCTTAAGGTCCTTTAAAAAAAAACCAAAAAGAAAAAGAATTCCTTTGTAGGGCAATCAATAGGACAATAGGAGGAAAGGGATTCACTGTTGGCAGTTCACACTATTTACGGTTAAGATGAGTCTGATATTCCTACAATGTTAAGTATTCAGGATTCATTTGGATAAGTTTTACTAAAGGATTCCTAAAGAAAATGATCAGAGTGAAACGCAAAATCTGCTATATGAAAGCAAGTAGGAGATTTACGTTGTGACGGTGACGACCTGCTCGACAAATGGCTTTCTCATCACCTCACTGCCAGAGGGACCAAGAATCCTGCGATCAATCACCAGACATCAAACCTGGAGAAACGCAAATTTGAACATAATCATATCCAAATGGCCAAATATCCACTTAAAGACATGTTTTCCGGGCACAGCCAACATGCTCCAGGGATAAGCTTCCATATACCGACAATGCATCTATTGCTGAATCAGGCTCTTATTTTCTGCGCTAAGGAAAAAACTTCAATGACGTTTAATTCCATAATAAAATATGTGGTCAATCTAACCAGAGAACATGGTCTGCTTCTAGTTGCCAACAAGTCAGTACTTAAATTGCATCATTTAGCTGGTCCTTTGGCTGACACAGATGAACTGAGAGGAAACTGTATTGAATTCTAACGCTCTGTATATTTTGAAGGTTAGATACAAAACTGTGGCAGAATTTCCAGCAACCCCAAAATTGCCCTTTGATTTAAATGGTTTAATTTACAAGGAATGGATATTCCGAAAAAATGATGCAAAAGAATTATGACAGCGATGCGAGGGTGCCCCAATCTCATTCCCTGGACCTTGTAACAAAGACTGCTTTTCTACCACCATACAATGCGCTTCATTCTGAAAGCGTATAATGACAACTCCATCTTGCTAGGCCATTCCATCAACTTTTGCAATCATCTATACTTGGCACAAAAAACCTTAATTGCGCTTCTCTCATTCGTCAACATCTTGGACCCATGCCAAATCTGCTATCAAAATTTCAACACAATCATATTTAACCAATAAAAGGCACGTCATTTACAAATTATCAAGTCAACCAAACAAGTGAAGTGAATCAATCACACTAACTGGAAAGATGTCTCATACTATGGAATTCTGAATTTACAAACTAAATCACAAGACGTGGCACCTGGAAAATCTAGCAACCATTTTGAGACCCACTTCATTTCTGTGTTCATATAGAACTCTCTTAAATTTTCTACCCTAGAGACAAACATGACAGATATAAACATGTACAAAAGATGGTCCCAACAAGACATTAATTTGGTTTACAATGCAGATAAAATGAGAGACTTATGATACTTTTCTTATTAAATTATAATTGACATGAGGCATGTCTAAAGGTGTTAAGAAATGGACCTTAGGCCTAATTCAACCCCAAAAATAAGCTCATGAGGTGAGGATTACCCAAAACCATATAAGGCGACAAAAAATCCATCCCTCAACCAATATGGAACACTTAGCAATCCCCCCCCCCCCCACCCAAACAATCCCCCTGCACGCCCACGCCTGCCGACTTGAGCATAGATAATATAACATGGGAGCCCAACATTGGGAAACACAATAACAGGGATGGCCCTGGCTCTAATACCATGTTAACAAATGGACCTTGGGCCAAACTCAACCTCAAAAGCTAGCTAATGAGGTTAGGATAGCCCAAAACTAGAAGACAAACAACCGTCCCTGCCAATATGGGACACATAACAAGAGGAATCAAACCCCCAAAGTTAATTGCAATGCACTAGATACAATTGTGAAAGGAGAGTCAAGAGTATTATAACCTTGAAGCACTGATTCTACTGCTGCATTTGGGATAAGCAACCCTACAATTCGCTGATTGTCAGTCGTTGTCACAATCCGTACAATGCGGATTCTCCGATGGCTTTGGCGAGCCTGTATCCAACAACAATTGGGAACCAGTAAACGAGTGAGGATGGTGCAACAACCTTTTAGAAGAAAATTATCTCTCTCG